CGTGTCGTCGCCCACTTTACAGCCCAGTTCGGAGATTTGTGAATCGACTCGACCGAGTCATTCAAAGAGTGAACGAGTCATTGTCGGCTATAGTGCTCGGGTGGTCTGCTCCGATATATCCTATACAGTTGACAGGCATCTAATAAACATCTATTTGACATTTGCTAAAAAACACTAAAAAATGCGTCTTGCAGATGTAATGCAGACGTCAAATAGATGTCTCAGAGATGTGCGTGTGCTATCAGGGACACAACTGATAAATGTGACCCTGGACCACAAAACCAGTCTTAAGTGTCAATTTTTCAAAATTGAGATTTATGCATCATCAAATAAATAAGCTTTCCATTGATGTATGGTTTGTTAGGATCGGACAATATTTGGTCGAGATACAACTATTTGAAAATCTGGAATCTGAGGGTGCAAAAAAATCTAAATATTGAGAAAATCATCTTTAAAGTTGTCCGCAGACGTCTGATAAAAGATAGCACACGTACGTCTGCAAGATGTCTGTTAAAGATCTCTTGATCTGGAAAGCATCTGCTGTGTACAGACGTCAGTTTTACACACATTCTAAATAAAATAAACATCTTAAAAGGCATCTAATAAACATCTATTTGACATTTGCTAAAAAACACTAAAAAATGCGTCTTGCAGATGTAATGCAGACGTCAAATAGATGTCTCGGAGATGTGCGTGTGCTATCAGGGACACAACTGATAAATGTGACCCTGGACCACAAAACCAGTCTTAAGTGTCAATTTTTCAAAATTGAGATTTATGCATCATCAAATAAATAAGCTTTCCATTGATGTATGGTTTGTTAGGATCGGACAATATTTGGTCGAGATACAACTATTTGAAAATCTGGAATCTGAGGGTGCAAAAAAATCTAAATATTGAGAAAATCATCTTTAAAGTTGTCCGAATGAAGTTCTTAGCAATGCATATTACTAATCAAAAATGTACGTTTTGATATATTTACGGTAGGAAATTTACTAAATATCTTCATGGAGCATGATCTTTACTTAATATCCTAATGATTTTTGGCATAAAAGAAAAATCTTTAATTTTGACCCATACAATGTATTTTTGGCTATTGCCACAAATATACCCCAGCGACTCAACACTGCTTTTGTGCTCCAGGGTCTCACATAGATTTGCAGGTTTTATTACCAATGGTGGCATCTTGGTCTTATGCATATTTTTGTTTTTACTTCTGTGCTTTTCAAAAATAATGATCACAAACCACTGACATTCTTTCTTGTGTTTTTGAATTATTAACGAATATGAAACGATGCAAAATCACTGTAATTCTGTTGGGATCTACTAGCATTCCCGCTGGAAGCCCCATGAATATGATTTTCCTGGCTTGTGATTGTTTATTTTTAGAGCAGCCACACATGGTTTTCTCGCTTGCTCTGTACATTCTAATGAGAGCGTCAGGCTCTCGGCTTTGATTTTTGGCATAAAAGAAAAATCTTTAATTTTGACCCATACAATGTATTTTTGGCTATTGCTGCAAATATCCCCCAGCGATTCAACACTGCTTTTGTGCTCCAGGGTCTTCAACACTGCTTTTGTGCTCCAGGGTCACACATAGATTTGCAGGTTTTATTACCAATGGTGGCATCTTGGTCTTATGCATATTTTAGTTTTTACTTCTGTGCTTTTCAAAAATAATGATCACAAACCACTGACATTCTTTCTTGTGTTTTTGAATTATTAACGAATATGAAACGATGCAAAATCACTGTAATTCTGTTGGGATCTACTAGCATTCCCGCTGGAAGCCCCATGAATATGATTTTCCTGGCTTGTGATTGTTTATTTTTAGAGCAGCCACACGATAACCAAGCAATAACATGATCAGGAATTATATCAGATTAATAAAGTGCCTTTAGTTCATTGTAGTGTCAAATGAGAAAACCAACATTCATCACATCGAGCCAGTTAACATAAACTGTAAACATGAAGGCCGTTGTGATGGCGAAGTACCGTGATTCCACATTCAAACACAAATGTGAGGCATGCGATGCATGAATAAATACAATCCATCAAGAGTTAAGCCACATGAAGCAAGTGAACAGATTATTATTACCTGCTCAAACTCATCAGACATCAGATCAAAACTGCAGGGAAGTTTGAACAATTCTGTAACATCCTCCGATTGATTCAGATATAAAACTCAGAGGGGATGTTAGGTTTATTATAGACCCGAATTGAGTAAAACATTTAGCACATCAGTTTTCAGTAACATCAAACAGGATCAGCTGTGACTCTTGTGCGTTTCTAATGGCTTTAGTGGTTAAGGCTCTGGGACTTTGGGAGAAACATACATTTTAGTTTCCTTGGTGGATTCCTGTACATATATAAAGCCCAATACTGTGCTGAAGGTCAAGTTAATAATATCAGTGCAATTTAGTCCAAGATTAAACAGGAGATGGGTGATGTATCATTGGTAATCTTGGTCATCTCTAACCGTTACTCAAAACATATCTGGAAAACTTTAAAGTGAGTTTTATATACTGATTGTACTGTAAATCCATGGGATTTTAAATGTGTATTTACTTTCCAATCGATTCCAGTAATTCACATATAACAGACATCATGTAGATGCAGAACTTCAAGCCGAGTGTTTCATTTTTCATGAATGCAAAAATATGTACACCCCATAATTGGTGCACATGTAAATGTGTAGCAGTGAGAAGGGCTGGGCGATATACTGAATATTCACAGTACATTTATGATGATTTCAGGTTAGTTTGACTTCGGCCTCAGCTGTCCTACAGAACAGCTAATTAGATATGTTCACAATCTATCATCAGAGAACGAGAGGGTTATGAAAGAGATGTTTCAATAGCATCAGATTTAAACTTCAGGTGCTATAACAGTATTAGAGCTGGTAAGATTGACAAAATTGACAACAACAAAAAAAAACCAAGCAATATTTTGAAGATTGGTTTTAATGATTTATTTTAAAATGGCAATAAATACATTCAAAGCCCCTGCACATTTAAAGTTAAAATGTTTAGTAAAAATAGGTGGGGAATGCGTAAACAAGTATTAATGTTTATTGCCGGTGTGTATGAATGAAAATTATTACATATAGTTCATTTAGTGAACAGTGTGAAAAACATGCCTTGATTTTTACTGTATTTTAATTTTAACATTTTGATGCACAATTTGCTACAACAGCGTATTGGTTATGATGACTGTTTTATGCCATTTCAATGGCATCTTCATAACGGCTTAATTATATCAAGTAACGTCTAGAAGCAATATCGCCCAGCCCTAGCAGTAAGTGTGCGCCGTTTTACACTAATATCTGGCGGCGTTGCCAGTTGTCAGCGACCAAATAAAAATATAAAAAAAATTAACTTTTCTTTATCCCAAAACCAATACCTTTCTATATAAACCCATCTCTTGCATTTGGTATAGTGTTAGAACATGACAGAGCTTCAGAAGAGGATGCTGATTGATGCATATCAATGATAAAAATGATAAAAAATCTGACTCGCTCAACCATTTACTACATTTCTTACAAGTTTGTAGAGTTTAGAAACATTTTGGCACGGTGTTAAATGTTATGAATTTAAGTAAGTCATTACTTTACTACATTTTTCATACAAAAATACCTATAAGAACATACGGATTGAAACTTGTGACGACGTTCATATAAGAAACAACTTTTAAGGGAAGATTGTGATAGCGAATGATGCACCTCCATCAACACAAACATACTGCACTAACGATGAACAGTCCAAATGCACAAATGGTGTGTTAGAAATCGTATTTTTTTCCCCCGCTGTAAGTACTCTCATTAGAGAAAATTACCCTGCTGTGTACCACATGGAATAACTCACCAAATATTTGACTGTGAGAAAATATATTCGCTTTTCATTCAAATTTTGAGCCACAATCATTGTTAAAATGTGAGGAAGGGCAGTGTCCAAAAGATTTAGGCCTACTCATCAGAGCAGTCTGCAGCTACCGAAGGGGTTTTTTGTTTTCTTGGTCCTCTGCTTGTTTGGGCGCAGGTTTATGACCTCACGGCCGTTCAGATCGCCGGCAGTCTGGTTGGGATGACTGCTGCCGGAAGTGTTGAAAACGCCTGAAGAGTGTAAGAAATGTCACGAGAATCTAAAAACGTTTAATGCTAAAGCTGAATTGAAATAAACAGTGTAGCAGTGTTGTAATAAAAATAAATATAATATGCGTCTGTGATGTCACCAGTAACAATCAAATAGCATCAATGCTGAGAAAAGGAGAAAAATCCATAACGGCGCCTTGTCTGGAAACTTTCACTCAGATACCGAAAGCACTTTTTCTTTATTGCTTGTAAATGTGGTTCGTTATATTTGCTTGAAGCTGCATTTAGTTGGTTATAATTCTTAACATGCAACTGTTTCGACTGTTTTATGCCATTTCAATGGCATCTTCATAACGGCTTAATTATATCAAGTAACGTCTAGAAGCAATATCGCCCAGCCCTAGCAGTAAGAGTGTGCCGTTTTACACTAATATCTGGCGGCGTTGCCAGTTGTCAGCGACCAAATAAAAATATAAAAAAAATTAACTTTTCTTTATCCCAAAACCAATACCTTTCTATATAAACCCATCTCTTGCATTTGGTATAGTGTTAGAACATGACAGAGCTTCAGAAGAGGATGCTGATTGATGCATATCAATGATAAAAATGATAAAAAATCTGACTCGCTCAACCATTTACTACATTTCTTACAAGTTTGTAGAGTTTAGAAACATTTTGGCACGGTGTTAAATGTTATGAATTTAAGTAAGTCATTACTTTACTACATTTTTCATACAAAAATACCTATAAGAACATACGGATTGAAACTTGTGACGACGTTCATATAAGAAACAACTTTTAAGGGAAGATTGTGATAGCGAATGATGCACCTCCATCAACACAAACATACTGCACTAACGATGAACAGTCCAAATGCACAAATGGTGTGTTAGAAATCGTATTTTTTTTCCCCGCTGTAAGTACTCTCATTAGAGAAAATTACCCTGCTGTGTACCACATGGAATAACTCACCAAATATTTGACTGAGAAAATATATTCGCTTTTCATTCAAATTTTGAGCCACAATCATTGTTAAAATGTGAGGAAGGGCAGTGTCCAAAAGATTTAGGCCTACTCATCAGAGCAGTCTGCAGCTACCGAAGGGGTTTTTTGTTTTCTTGGTCCTCTGCTTGTTTGGGCGCAGGTTTATGACCTCACGGCCGTTCAGATCGCCGGCAGTCTGGTTGGGATGACTGCTGCCGGAAGTGTTGAAAACGCCTGAAGAGTGTAAGAAATGTCACGAGAATCTAAAAACGTTTAATGCTAAAGCTGAATTGAAATAAACAGTGTAGCAGTGTTGTAATAAAAATAAATATAATATGCGTCTGTGATGTCACCAGTAACAATCAAATAGCATCAATGCTGAGAAAAGGAGAAAAATCCATAACGGCGCCTTGTCTGGAAACTTTCACTCAGATACCGAAAGCACTTTTTCTTTATTGCTTGTAAATGTGCTTCCTTATATTTGCTTGAAGCTACATTTAGTTGGTTATAATTCTTAACATACAACTGTTTCGACTTACTTATTATTTGTAATTACTTTAAAAAGTAGCCCACTTATGGTAATTTAATAAAAATGAACAAATACATTTGTTAAAGTTGCCCCTATTATGGATTTTTGAAAATTACCTTCCATGCAGTGTGTAACACAGCTCTAAGAGAATGAAAACATCCTGCAAAGTTTTAAACCTAAAAAAAGTGCACCGTGTATAAAGTTGTCTCTCAAAAGAAAGAGTCGACTCTGAATCATTGAAAACGAATCCCAAGTGGTTTCATGTTGAAACATTAGCATATTGCCCGCCCACTTGTTGGACTTTTAGCGTTGTTCTAATGAAAATGCATATTCTTTCTTTGCCACTAGGTGCCGCTTTTGGAGCGGTAAAAATGAAAAATTTATTAAAAAAAATACACAAGGCAGCACTGCGCTCACAAACGCTGCTTTATCAGGCATTACAGGCCAGATGAAATGAAAATGAGACCAATCGGACCAATCACCGCAGATTAGCGTCACGCAAAGGAGGGGTTTGGAAAAATGAATCATTAAACGAATCGTCTGGGAGTCGTTGAGCAAGTAAGGTAAAAAATAAATGCTTATTATAAGACAATTAAAGTGTTTTTTGATCTTGCATGCATGTGAACCTGTTGTTGGGGACTCCCAAAACCAAAATATGAACATTTCATAACCCATAATAGGGGCACTTTAAAGTCGGTAAACTAAATAATTAATAAAAAAATTTAGATCAAGATTGTGATTCCAAGAATGGAAATCAGATCGGATCATGCGATGTCTAAAAATTCCTATCCCTAAATAAAAGTATTCATTTCTTTTGAAAAAATCTTACCTATTTTATTGCTGGATGTGTGAACAACCTCGGTCTCCTCTGCCGACTGCTGCTTGAGTCGTTGCAGATATTTGTCAGCTAGATACTTAAAAACTACAACATAACAAAAAAGGAGTTATTTTACAGTTGAGCACAAATCAGTTTCATGACCTGCTTTATCACACACACCTTCATTGACGTTGAGATCTTCTTTCACTGACGTCCGATAGAATCTTAACTTCAGCTTCTTAGCGAGACCTTCAGCCTCCTCACTGAAGCAACGACACAGAAGGATTTGCATTAAAGGATAAGTCCACCTCCAGAATAAAAATTTCCTGAAAGATTACTCACCCCCATGTCATCCAAGATGATCATGTCTTTCTTTCTTCAGTCGCAAAGAAATTACGTTTTTTGAGGAAAACATTCCATATAGTGGACTCCAATGGTGGCCAACGATTTCAAGGTCAAACATGCAGCTTCAGTGAAGCTTCAAAGAGCTCTACACGATCCTAGCCGAGGAATAAGGGTCTTATCTAGCGAAACGAACGGTCATTTTCTTAAAAAAATATATATTTATACCAGGGATGGGTGATATGGGCTTAAAGATATATCATGATAATTTCTGGTATTTATTGCGATAATGATATCAATGGCGAAAATTCAGGGAATCCTGTTTCTTTAGAGAAAAGGGTGTTGTTAGCATTACCAAAATCCCTTTCAAGGATATCTACATTCTTTTGCATTACTGAGTACACAAGTATCAACTGTTTAATTCATACTGGAAGCCGGAGGGCGCAGAAACTCGACATATGCATTGCAGAAGTAAAGGAAATATAAGACAATAAACATACGACTGCACAAAATATATAGTTTATCTGCGTTCTTCATGCAATCTTGGGTATTTTTTATAAGGAAAGTATATTTATAATTAGGGATGCACGATATTATCGGACCAATATCGGAATCGGAAAATAATGGCTTTAAATGTAAATATCGGTATCGGCCCGATATGAAAAATTATGCCGATATGTCTTGCCGATAAGAGGAATACATTAACTTACATGTGCTCAGGGTGTGCTAGCGATTAGATCACGTCAGCATTGTGGCTCATTCTTGAAGCAAAGTTTTGCCTGAATGATGATTAGATTCACTGTTTTGGATGCTGCATTAAAACAGAATGCACGTACAGAATAATGCGTTTGGTGTGTGATATAGTCAACAATAATAACACATGCAGCAGCGGCAGCCTCCCCCGGGTCCTAAAGCCCATTCGGTAAGGAGTTTTAATTCCGTAGGGGGCGCTGTTGGCCTACTTCTAATAAAATGAAAGCAAAATACACAAATAATATTTAAACTGTTTCTGATTAAATAAAGCAGTAATTGATGCCATAAAATCGTGAGTATATTTGATTTAAAGGTCAGAAGCTATAGCTTACATGAAAAAAAAAATCACAATCACAAACATGACACTTAAATTAAATAGTTTTATATATACTGATTTATTCATTAATGTGTAATATGCTATATTTTTTAAACAAAAAAACGGCCAAAATTAGTTGAAAATTATTGGCATATCGGATATCGGCAAAAATCCAATATTGTGCATCCCTACTGTAATATGAAACCACGTCTGGTCACAAAAATAAGTTATTTCAAACACTCAACGAAGTTAATTTGGAAAAAAAGCATGTCAATAAATGGTATCTTTGTTGGACAACAGGTTTGTGAATACACATGCAAAACTGTATCGCACACATGCTACTGTAGTACATTTATTCTGACCGATTTTTTGTCGCACTTTACAGCCCTAACCAAACCAGTTGCAGATTGTATAAGGAGCTCATCCTTTAGCGATAAACTCCTCCTTAATTTCGTGTCCGCCTTCCGCGATGTCGCTCCGTCCACACAGAATTATGCCAACAACTAGACTTTATCGTTATTATCGGGGGAAAACTAATTCTTATCGGGGAGAATTTTTACCAGTACATCAAAAAAGATAAGATATCGCCCATCCCTAATTTATAAACTTTTTAACCACAAATGCTCAGCTAGCATTAGCTCAGCGATGTGCTTGCGTGTCTTTATTAAGTGATGTTGGAAAGGTCATGTGTGACGCAGGTGGAAGTACCAGTGTTTACAAAGCGAACATGCAAAGAAAGTCAAATGCCCTTTACAAAAAAATTTAAAACAACAATGTTGGACGATTTTAAAGTTGGAGGAGAAAATGAGATGGAGTTTTTAAACGAAGTACAAAGACGAAGAACTAACCGTGCGTGACCTTTCCAACGGTTGTGTCTAGAAGGGATACAGCAAAAACCGGAAGCTAACTATAAATTAAATTTTCTGCCTATTAGATTGTGTTTTATTAACGTCTACACTTACCCCAACCCTAAAGCTACCCCTAACAATAATGCAAAAACAGTAATTATTGTTGTACAGTGTGAGAAAAATTACGCTATGATGTGCGCATGTACAGTAGTTTTTGCTGTATGCCATCTTGCCTTAACCCTTTCCAACAGGGTTACGTAATGTGTGACGACGCACATGTGCATCGCAGAGCTAGAGCAGTGTTGCCAAGTCTGCGGTTTTCCCGCAGAATTAGGCTACTTTATCAGTGTTACCGCGGGTTGTTTTTCATGTCTGCGGGTTAAAGTGACCCCGATAACGTGATATTTAGCCCCTGGAGTGCAAATTTTACCAGGGGAACCCTGCCAAAAACATGCATTTTACCCCCCAGAACACGATTTTTTAACGGGGAGCCCCCCTCGAAATGCGATTGGGCTAGTTTTGAGTAGCAATTAGACGGGTTTTGTTGCAAAAACCTGGCAACCCTGAGCTAGAGCAAGCAGAGCATTTAAAAAGTGTATAAATATGAAATTTTTCCAGAAAATGACCTATCGTTTCGCTAGATAAGACACTTATTTCTCGGCTGGGATCGTGTAGAGCCCTTTAAAGCTGCATGTTTGACCCTGAAATTGAATAATTGGTAATATTAATATTAATAATAATTGGTAATTGGCCACCATTGAAGTCCACTATATGGAGAAAAATCCTGGAATGTGTTCCTCAAAAAACTATTTATTTTCGACTGAAGAAAGAAAGACATGAACATCTTGGATGACATGGGGGTGAGTACATTATCAGGAAATGTTTATTCTGGAAGTGGACTTATCCTTTAACCACATCAATCTCTACAGTCGCTGATGATACTGTGCATTAACGATTCTTTTTGTCTTACTTTTTGATAACCGTGTCGTCCAGCAGATCGATTTTGTTCTGCACCAGGACGGTGGGGATGTCCCCGACCTCCATCTCCACTTTCTCCCTCCAGCTGCTGATGGCCTCAAAGGACTCTCTGTCGGTGGTGGAGAAGACCAGCACACAGGCCTGAGCGCCTGCAGGACCAAACACGCATCACAAACCCGCTCAAGCTCCCAGCCAAACACACGTCCACAGCGTTTCTAACAGTCTCACCTCTGTAATAGGCCTTGGTGATGGCATCAAACTCCTCCTGTCCCGCCGTGTCCCACAACATCAGCCTGACGTCCTCGCCATTAACTCTGAAACGCATGTAAACAAATGTAAAACTGATATGTGACCTGAAGCACAAAACCAGTCATAAGGGTAGATTTTTCGAAATTGAGATTTATACATAACAAAGCTGAATAAATGAGCTTTCCATTGATGTCTGGTTTGTTAGTATAGGACAATATTTGGCCAAGAAAATCTGGAATCTGAGGGTGCAAAAAATCTAAATATTGAGAAAATCACTTTTAAAGATGTCCAAATGAAGTCCTTAGCAATGCATATTACTAATCAAAAATTAAGTTGTAAAATATTTATGGTAGGAAATGTACAAAATATATTCATGGAACATGATCTTTACTTAATATCCTAATGATTTTTGGCATAATTTTGACCCATACAATGTATTGTTGGCTATTGCTACAAATATGCCAGTGCTAATTGTACTACTTTTGTGCTACGGGGTCACATATATGCATTGGCGTAATATCTAATAGACTGTTGAAATGTATTAAAACACATAAATTACGTGAAATAATTGGGTGAATCTCAAATTTAAAAAAAAAATGCTAAAACCATTTTTAACATCTGTTGGGCCGCCTGACAGGTCACGCAGGCTTACAGCAATTCACATCTGCTTTCATTCTCAGTTTGACTAAGCATTGAAACAGATGAAGCCACTGACAGCTCATTTGTTCCTCTTTTCGCTTTAAGAGCACAAACAGTAAACCGCACAGATTTTCTCTGGCATTTACTGCCAATGCATGGGGGTGAGTACATTATCAGGAAATGTTTATTCTGGAAGTGGACTTATCCTTTAACCACATCAATCTCTACAGTCGCTGATGATACTGTGCATTAACGATTCTTTTTGTCTTACTTTTTGATAACCGTGTCGTCCAGCAGATCGATTTTGTTCTGCACCAGGACGGTGGGGATGTCCCCGACCTCCATCTCCACTTTCTCCCTCCAGCTGCTGATGGCCTCAAAGGACTCTCTGTCGGTGGTGGAGAAGACCAGCACACAGGCCTGAGCGCCTGCAGGACCAAACACGCATCACAAACCCGCTCAAGCTCCCAGCCAAACACACGTCCACAGCGTTTCTAACAGTCTCACCTCTGTAATAGGCCTTGGTGATGGCATCAAACTCCTCCTGTCCCGCCGTGTCCCACAACATCAGCCTGACGTCCTCGCCATTAACTCTGAAACGCATGTAAACAAATGTAAAACTGATATGTGACCTGAAGCACAAAACCAGTCATAAGGGTAGATTTTTCGAAATTGAGATTTATACATAACAAAGCTGAATAAATGAGCTTTCCATTGATGTCTGGTTTGTTAGTATAGGACAATATTTGGCCAAGAAAATCTGGAATCTGAGGGTGCAAAAAATCTAAATATTGAGAAAATCACTTTTAAAGATGTCCAAATGAAGTCCTTAGCAATGCATATTACTAATCAAAAATTAAGTTGTAAAATATTTATGGTAGGAAATGTACAAAATATATTCATGGAACATGATCTTTACTTAATATCCTAATGATTTTTGGCATAATTTTGACCCATACAATGTATTGTTGGCTATTGCTACAAATATGCCAGTGCTAATTGTACTACTTTTGTGCTACGGGGTCACATATATGCATTGGCGTAATATCTAATAGACTGTTGAAATGTATTAAAACACATAAATTACGTGAAATAATTGGGTGAATCTCAAATTTAAAAAAAAAATGCTAAAACCATTTTTAACATCTGTTGGGCCGCCTGACAGGTCACGCAGGCTTACAGCAATTCACATCTGCTTTCATTCTCAGTTTGACTAAGCATTGAAACAGATGAAGCCACTGACAGCTCATTTGTTCCTCTTTTCGCTTTAAGAGCACAAACAGTAAACCGCACAGATTTTCTCTGGCATTTACTGCCAATGACACGTCTCGCGTTATATTGGAAAGAGACTGTGATCCAGGAACTACTGCTAAAAAAACCAAGAGGATCTTCTTTCCCAAGGGGTTGCCTGATCTTCACCGCATGCTTTTTGTCATACTCATATTTAAATGCAAACAGGAAGTTTGCTTGTTCTAAAGGTTTTTTTTGTCATATATGCCTGGACAAACATGAGCCAGATTTACTGGAATTTATTTTTGTTTGTATGTATGAGTGGAATACTGTACCTACTGTGTATTCAGTGCAGGGTAGTGACTGATTACATAGAATCTGGATTATGTAATCAGATTCCAAAAATTACAGTTACTTTTTACATGGATTAATTACATATTGTTCTGGACAAAACCATTTCAAACCTGGTACACTCTGGGTGTGTCATTGTTGTTTCCTTGCTTATTAATGCAATCATTCCCATTTTTTGTGAGCCAAACACCTTAAAATAAACTAAGGTTAGATTAAGATTAGTTAATATTTCAATAATTGTGCTTTTTATCACCTCACTGCCGTTCTTATTACATTAAGCCCAGTTTGGGAAACCCTGGTGTAATGTTGATATGAAAAATGGAATACATTTTCTTTCTCTTGGCTTTTATAATATCAATATGGTATGCTTAACGGTAAGTTTAAAACAAGTTAGATTAAAAAGAAGTAGTCAGAATACAATCACCAAAAACGAGTAAACCAGATTTCATTACTAACTAGTTTTATTTCCATCATGTAAACGGTAATCAGTAACAGACTACAAATTGTAAGTAATCGACCCAGCACTGTACATACTCCTACTCATTTCTATCAAACATTATATGAAATAGAGGTGCACAGTACTGCCAAAATCTTGCTATGAGAATTATTAATCACAGTAACAGTATGTGTGTATGAGTCCATTTCAAGTGGCCCAGAAAATGTAAAGTTGGTTGCTTGACTTTATTTATTTATTTATTTAATTACTTGCGTACATATGTATGTGGGTCAAAGATGTTAAGATGTCCGCATCAAAATAAATTTACAAAAGTGATTTTATGTCCATAGAAAGCACATTAAAAATAAGTAAAGTGTCTACTTTTAAGGTTTCAAATAAGTTTTTGGAGAATAAAATGTCAAAATTTGGTTACATTGTCATTCACTGTAGAGGTCGACCGATAGTGGATTTTGCCGATACCGATAGCTAGGTTGGACCACACTGGCCCATACCCATTTATTAACCGATAGTTTTAAAATTGATACTGAACAAAAATTAAATAGTGCTTTATTAACAAAAACAGTACTGAACCATACCAGAAGTAGTAAAAAAATAATAATAGTAATAGTAAATGTTGAAATTAATGCACTCAATGAACAATACTTACACAGCTTTCATTAATCTTAATGCTACAAATGGACTCTTATTTTAAAGTGTTACCATTTCATTTCAACTGTCATGCTTAAAGATGCACATCTTTAAATATATACACAAAGGCTATAGCAGTGGTTCTCAACCCGCGGCCCGTCACAAATTCAAATGCGGCCCACCATGCTGAACACAATTTTAAAAAATAACTTTCAGTTTTACAATTCATTTTAGTTTTTAAATTAATTTAAAAATGTACTAAACAAATATAAGCTATAATGTTTTTGTTATGTAAAATAATTTTGTTTTTCATATATTATTTTCAGATATGAGCAGACCTGTACTCACATAATTAACGTTAGGCATTTAATGAACACTTACAAGCGCGCACTTTAGCAGAATTCAATTCAAAAAGTCATTAGTTCGGTAAAGTTGAGCATCAGAATGGACACATTTGTTATTAAGGGAGAAAAATGAAATGTGGAAAATGCCAGCGAAGGAACACATACAAACAAGAGTAGTCGCAGCAGTGAAGGTGAGAGTGCTGGACTTTCGACATCAACTTTCGGTTTGCCCCGCCACTCACTTGAAGATGTTCAGGCTACAGCCCTGCACGAGCCTCAAATATATGACGTTCAGGCCCTAGCCCGGCCCTTGTTCGACAGCTTATCAGAATTACCGACCCGAGCCCGTCTTTTTCCCCTTCTCCCAAAACAGCTTATACTACCGTTTCAGCTACATTAAAATAGTTCAGTTTTGTATGTAATGGCAAAGTGATATTTCATTCCTCATCTTGCCCTGTTTGTCCTGCTCTCCATTTTCAAGTTGTTATGTTTCTTTGTCACTCTCACATGTCCATAATGTAAATCAGTCCGGTGCACTAAATCTACTGCACTGTGAACCGCATAGCAAAATCTATACGGCCCTCCATTACCACACCAGACATTGCGTCAGATTTAGCAAGCTGCCCCCACATTATTAGATTGTCTTGACGCCGTTCTGCTGCGCTCCATTACGCTGTCACAGGATGATTAACAGTCACATCTTAGTCTGGTCTGCCTCAGCGGTCTAACAGCACTCACCAATGTCAAGATGACTCAAACGGCCAATCAAACCAAAGAAGGTGGGGTTTACTGTAAACAGAGCCTGAATGATGCTTCAGTTTTAACGGTGAAAGAGTGCAATGTAATATGTAAGGTAGCTAAACATTTAATATTTGACTACTGTTTTACGATAGAAATGTTAAACGACTTGTAAAAATAGGCTATCATTTACTTGATTTATGTTATTTACCCCATAACTGAATGCGACGCAACAAAAAAAAGCATTAATGGAGCCGATTTGGTGTATTATGCATAAGCTAAGATAAGCACTGAATGTGTGCATATTCTAAAATAAAAAGTATTATTTGCAAATACACTGAACAAAAATATAAACGCAACACTTTTGTTTTTGCCCGTCCCTGGAATATTCCAAAAACATCCTGGAAAGTTTCCAAAATTTCTGGAATATTTCCGAAATGTACTGGAAATGTTCCACTTCTTCGCAACCCTACTTTCTAAAAGTATTACTTTAGTATTACTAGCTTTGGGGAGAAATATAACCAGACGTGTTTTTGACACCCATAAAGGCCCAGCTTTTACTCTCAAAACCTGACCTGGTTGCAAATCAACACAATTATGACAATGAAAACTGGATAAATTTGCCAGAACAACTGCTGTTAATATAGTCACACTAATAATCAGGAAAACAACAGTGTTAATCTGGCCAAATTCACTTATGAAACAAATCCGATTTTAGCTGTAAAGCAGCTCTACAGAAGATAATAGTGCCATTATGCAGCTCAATTGGGTTGAAGGACAGAGCGAGTGCTGCAAACGTCATTAGTTATGAAGTGAGCTCTACAGCAGGTGACAGTGTCATCACTCAGCTCCTGTCAGTTCGGGTCAATAGCTGCACAGTTCACCAGTTTTGAACGTGAACGCAAAAATGCAATCCAAGAATGCTGGATAGATAGCAGCGCGACAGTAGCGCTTACATATTAGGTTACGTTCCCCAGGCCTCCCGCGTTTCTGCTGGGTAACTAAATACAGCAGCCAACCTGAGACAACAATGACACGCATGAGTCTTTCACACCATCAGCCTTAATAAAATAAGCTCGCAAAATGATGGCCTTATACGGGTAAAATTAGATTCAACCACATCAGATCTTACCAATCATGTTCTTAATTGTATTTAATTCCTTCAATAATATTGACGTTTTAAATGCATTCATACTTTTTAAATCAGATAAATATTTTCGCCATTTTAATTGGACTTCTACATTTATAGAAATCAACGTAAACCAAACGGATATTTTTAAATATGTTAAGAAAGCATTTCACTGACCGGATTAGACTTCCTTCCTTCCGTTTGGTTCAGCTTTTAGAACAAAAGCCGGATCCCAGCGTTCGTTCTTGACAGGTGTTTGTGAGGTCTGGCTGTCTGAAGGGCCCGCTGCGTTACTGCCATGGCACTGAGATCCACGTAACCAAGGAAGTCTGAGTGATATACAGAGTGCAGTCTCTCAGTGGGGCTATATACAGCAGCTGCACAGAAAACACACACAAGACAAATGTGCGAGCCTCTCTCGGAGCACCAAAACTTCAAAGAAGCCCATCTGTTCGTGGTCAGATTACAC